CTTCTGCTCCTTCACCTCCTCCTCCTCCACCTCCTCCTCCTCCTCTTCCTCCTCCTCTTCTTCTTCTTCTTCCATCTCCATCTTAACCCAAAGGTCGGATGTGATTTGATCATTCTGGACTATTAACCTGTATTTGCATAACTAAGGAATAGTCATCCAGCAACTGTAATACTGTTATGAATTGTAATCAGTAGTGTGCACAAACCTGAGTATGAACAGAAATCCAGAGGACTGCCTGTTTTTATGGGATGAAATATTACTGTGATTTGGATGTCTTTGTGTTATAGCTGTCAGCAAAAGCTACATTTTTTGTACCAGCCCCCATGAGTCCCATTGCCGTGGCCCCAGCACAATATGCATTTCAGTGTTTATTAAGTCACATCTGGAACCACTGAATACCTTTCCCTAACTGGCAAGGGAGAATTTGAATCCACATGTAATAGAACATATAGAATTTAATTAGCTCTTAATAGTCACAAGTGGAAGGGATAATTATTTAATTGGGTTTTTACCTTTTTATGGTAGTCTTAATTGATATGTCACTTGCCTTCAGGTAGGGACTCAAAGGTATTACGTTACTTATATGATACCTTGGGGGTTTCATTCTACCTCCTGCCCCATTCGTCAGCCTGTTATCTCCTCCTCCATTTGGACATACCTCTACTTGGAGTTTAAAAAAAGAAAAGAAAGAAAAGCGAAAGATACAGAAATCTAAAAATACGCTAGTGGCAGAATTCATGTTGTTTTGCTGTTGATACTCAGGGAGATTAGAGGTGCTGATAGTAGGGCCTTTCTTTTCCCTGGACTAATCAGCATTCCCTCTGTGGTACTCCCCAAAATCCTTTGAATTCAGCTAATTAGACCGTCAGGTGTACATTGTGCAGTACTTTATTTCATATTGAATGTTGGGGAGATGGACCACATTCAGATTTTCCAACAAGGAAAATATCCTGTATAATTTAGTTTGTTCTTTGTGCTTCTGTCAAATATCCACGGTCACCCTAAAGCAATGACATCGCTGCAGTTATATCTTTCACAACATACCTGGTTATTTCCTTTCTTATCCTTATGAATGAGAGCCTAAGAATGTAGGAAGCATGGTCTTCCCTCTGCATCTTGACTTTTACCCTGGTCTAACTGGGTCCTAGTGTTCACCTCAGCACTGTTTTACTACTTAAATCCAGATAAGTGTTGCTTGTTGTCACAGTCTTCTCCTTCAAGGCTCAGCTGTTAGTCAATTGAAATGTTTCCTTTTCAACATAAGGACTGGAGGGGCTTGCACGGGGGCGGACTATTTGGGGATCCTGGCCTACAGGATCTGTGTCACCTAGGGTCTTTCTTTTATGAACTTTGGTCGATACGCCAGCTGCAGCTGTTTCATGATCTGGCCACTGTGATTCATGCTCTGCTAAGAGCCATCTTATATTACTGTAATACACTTTACATGGGGCTGCCTTTGGATATGGTCAAGAGAGTTCTACTTGTCCAATATGCAGCAGCCAGGCTGTTGTCAGGGGCAGGATATGGGTATTGCTGCTGAAAAATCTGCACTGGATGTCTGTTGGTTTCTGGGCACAATTCAAAGTGCTGGTTCTTACTTCTAGCAATCAGAGACAGGACTTTTTCAGGAGCAGGCCCAGTGTTCCCTCTAAGCTGAGTTAGTGTGAGGTAAAGTAAAGGTAAAGGTTCCCTTGCTCGAAAGCCAGTTGGGTCTGACTCTAGGGCTGCGGTGCTCATCTCCGTTTCAAAGCCGAAGAGCCAGCGCTGTCCGAAGACGTTTCCGTGGTCATGTGGCCGGCATGACTAAACACCAAGGTGCATGGAACGCTGTTACCTTCCCACCGAAGTGGTACCTATTTATCTACTTGCAATTTCTTGCTTTCGAACTGCTAGGTTGGCAGGAGCTGGAACTAGAGATGGGAGCTCACTCCATCATGTGGCACCCGGGTCTCGAACTGCTGAACTACTGACCTTCCACAGCCTGCAGTTCAGCGTCTTAACCACTTAAGCCACCGCAGCTCAAGTGTGAGCTAGCTCACCGTTTTTCAGCCTCCAGCTCACACATTGTTGCCTCAGCTCTGGAAGGATGGCTCCAGGGCAAACTAATTTATGCAGTAGCCAAATTGCTGGCTCACAACTTTAATGCCAGTAGCTCACAAAGTAGAATTTTTGCTCACAAGACCCCCCCCCCCCGCTTAGAGGGAGCATTGGTAGCAGCCCCTCATTGATGGGGTGCTCTTCCTCTCAAAGCTCACCTGGCTCCTCTGTTGCTTTCTTTTAGGCACCAGGCCAAAATGTGTTTGTTTAGCCTGATCCTCAGGTAAGTGTGTCAATGAGATGGAACTCAGGTTCTTCTGACTGATCTCTCATCGTGGAAGTTTAGCTGAATGTTTAGTCTGGGAACTGTTGTTTTCAGCTGTCTGTCATCTGTTTTTATGATCT